GTGGTAGAATCTCCTTCCTTAGAGGTTTTTAAGGTCAGGCTTGACAAAGCCCTGGCTGGGATGATTTAACTGGGAATTGGTCCTGCTTTGAGCAGGGGGTTGGACTAGATGACCTTCTGGGGTCCCTTCCAACCCTGATATTCTATGATTCTAAGTCCTCCTTTTCTTTCTGCCATCTAGTGTCCGTACAAGGCTATTGCAGGTGACACATTGCATCCCACTGTTTGCAGTCAACACAAACTTTTGGCATGGGCAGCATGAAAAATCAGCTCTTGTTGCCCATGAGGAAATGCACCCCTGATAGACTGTGGGGTGCCACCCTGCCCTGGTGCTAACTGCAGTCAAAGTGGTAAATTTGACTGCACTGCAGTGATGGGAATAAGATTGCTGACCGTTTCATCCAGAAAGCTACAGTGAGACTTACTGTCTTTAAACTGGGGCGTTAGTGAAGACAGCTTGTAGGTGAAGACAATGATCTCAATACACTGTAATTCTTGATAGTGTAATTATGTAGTCATAACAATTGAATCATTATTAAAATAGTAAAGATACCAATGATAGACACATTCAATAGCTAGAATGTGAAAGAAGTGTATAAATATGCTAAAAATAGCTTCCTCTCTAAACTGGCAGAGTGCCCCCTCCCCCCTCCCAAACACACACCCCTCTTCGAAAGCACCCACTGGCAAAAACAAAAAGGCAGCGCCTATGATCACAATTCTCAAAAACACTGATTAAAACCTTGTTTAAAACCCGTTATAAGCAAAACGTAATGGTGACATAACCATTGCATAAACCGTTAGCATGTCCTTGCTAAATAGAATCATAGAATCATAGAATATCAGGGTTGGAAGGGACCCCAGAAGGTCATCTAGTCCAACCCCCTGCTCGAAGCAGGACCAATTCCCAGTTAAATCATCCCAGCCAGGGCTTTGTCAAGCCTGACCTTAAAAACCTCTAAGGAAGGAGATTCTACCACCTCCCTAGGTAACGCATTCCAGTGTTTCACCACCCTCTTAGTGAAAAAGTTTTTCCTAATATCCAATCTAAACCTCCCCCACTGCAACTTGAGACCATTACTCCTCGTTCTGTCATCTGCTACCATTGAGAACAGTCTAGAGCCATCCTCTTTGGAACCCCCTTTCAGGTAGTTGAAAGCAGCTATCAAATCCCCCCTCATTCTTCTCTTCTGCAGGCTAAACAATCCCAGCTCCCTCAGCCTCTCCTCATAAGTCATGTGTTCCAGACCCCTAATCATTTTTGTTGCCCTTCGCTGGACTCTCTCCAATTTATCCACATCCTTCTTGTAGTGTGGGGCCCAAAACTGGACACAGTACTCCAGATGAGGCCTCACCAATGTCGAATAGAGGGGAACGATCACGTCCCTCGATCTGCTCGCTATGCCCCTACTTATACATCCCAAAATGCCATTGGCCTTCTTGGCAACAAGGGCACACTGCTGACTCATATCCAGCTTCTCGTCCACTGTCACCCCTAGGTCCTTTTCCGCAGAACTGCTGCCTAGCCATTCGGTCCCTAGTCTGTAGCTGTGCATTGGGTTCTTCCGTCCTAAGTGCAGGACCCTGCACTTATCCTTATTGAACCTCATCAGATTTCTTTTGGCCCAATCCTCCAATTTGTCTAGGTCCTTCTGTATCCTATCCCTCCCCTCCAGCGTATCTACCACTCCTCCCAGTTTAGTATCATCCGCAAATTTGCTGAGAGTGCAATCCACACCATCCTCCAGATCATTTATGAATACTAGCTTACAGTTCCAGAGGAATGAATAGTCTTGTTTATAGATAATTTATTTTCACAGAATTGCATATCTACCAATGATGTGGCATGTTCAAGATGTACCAAAGACATGTGGAGAACTAAAAGCAATCATTTTGTAAAAGAGCAGCTTCACGTGTCTTAATATGTATCTTTGTACATCACAACAGTAGTTGTTCAACTCCATTGTGTATAGAATACTTGATAGGAGTTAACTGTATGCTAATAAGAAATAAAATTATTTTTCTGAAATTCAACTCTCCCTTTCCCATAACACAGTCTCCAATGTAACTTGGACTTTTCTCATACGAGCACCTTCAGTTTCCCATACTCCTCTACACTTAAGCTAACTTGGGCCTCAAACCTAACTTCTACTTGTGTCTTAACCTAAAACACCCTATAGTCTACACCACAATGATCCTGGACAGAACCACAGGGACAAACCTTTCTGAAACCAGGACTGTGTGACTTAAAACCAGACTAGTCGCTTGCCTACTTACATTTGAGCTCACAACTAGGGTAGACTTGTAGGCCCCGTTATCCCAACAGGTCTCTCTTGATTGAGCTGTTTCACGTTGCATATGAATAGGGGTGTGGAGGAAGAGTGAGAATGACTCCATGGTTCTCACTGAAGATGTGGGAAGCCCCCATTCTTCATCAACCAGAGGGGAGAATTGAACTGGGGTTTTCCACAGGCCAGGGGAGGATCCTACCCACTTGGCTATGGGTTATAAAAGACCCATCCTTGCCTGCCTCACACCTAACTCCTGAGATAGGTGCCTCCCATGAAGCCCAGATTTTAGGCACCTAATTCCCTGAGGGGATGTCTACACTACAGTGTAAGCCCAGGGTTGGAACTCAAACTCAAGCCTCACCCTCTCTTCTGTCTACACGCAAATCATGCTAACCCGTGGCTCGGTCCTAGGCTCCTAGGACTCCAAGAGGGTGGAGGATCTGAGCCTTAGTCAAGCCAGGAACCCAGCCAGGTTTCAAGCCCTATTGCTTTGCAGTGTAGACACAGTCCCACCAGACTCCTGCTCTGCGAGTCCATCAAAAGTATTCCACAATCCGCGGGCTGACTTTCTTTGTCCTCTGGACAGTGAAGTTTGGTGGACAGTCAGGGTCTCCCACACTGCACCATGAGCAAAGGGCTGGAATAGCCACATTTTGGGAGGGCGGTAGGAAGTCTGGGATACGGGTGTTGGACTCGGGCCCACGGAATGCGGTGTAGATGCTCAAGCCGTAGGTTAACAAACCCCGGTCTGCTAACTCGAGTTCTACTAACCCTGGGCTTACACTGCAGGGTAGACAGACCCCTGCCCGCCCAACATGCTGGCTTTTGTGGAGCCCATTCTCAGGGGCCCGTCTCTCCCTTTTCATTATATAGGGAGTGTTGGCGCTGGCCGAAAGTTAGACACTGCAATGCCTGCGTTTTCATCCTGATTGGGGATGGGAACATTTTTCAAAATGTCCAACGTTTTCACGGGCCAGGAATGCCACCCCAACCTAGTCCTGAGTACTTTTGAAAAGCCGGCTACTTCATTTAGGCCCCTTAATGGGAGCTGAGCTCTTTGGAAAACCTGGTGCTTTGCACCTCCGACTCTGAAATGCTTCAAAGATGAAGGCGCCAGGGCTTGTAAAGCAAATACAAACACAGTTCCCTTCCAGATTTTTCATTTTGATATTCATCTTGGTCGACACCACGCTGCCCACAGGTGCTGACTTTTGGTTTTGCCGGTGGGTGTCCCATCTCTGCCCCGCCCCCTCCCCCCAATGCTCCGCCCCCTCTCCACCTCTTCCTGCCCCCTCCCCCAAGAGCGCCTGCCCTGAGTGCCTCCCGCCTGCTCCTCTCTGCCCCCTCCCCAGAGGCCACCCTACCCGCTCGCCCGCTGCTTGCTCCTTTCTGCCCCCTCCTGCCTTAAGGGTGGGTGATGAGGGGAGGGGGTGGAGAGGACTGAGTGGCGGGAGCTGCCAAACAGCTGCTGGGTGGGGCCGCAGAACAGCTGATCGGTTGAGCCGCGGAACAGCTGATCAGCAGGTGGGGCCTCCTAACAGCTGGTCTGAGGCCAGCTGCGGGCCAGCGGCAGAACCACTGTTGCCAGTGGGTGCTGAGCACCCTGTATTTTTTTTCCCTTGGGTGCTTGAGCCCCAGAGCACCCACAGAGTCAGCACCTATGACACTGCCACTAAGTTTTCAGCTTTTGTTCTGCTTCCACAGAAGCTGTTGGCTGGAGGTTCGGCCTGGGTGCATTTGGGGGTTGTAGTGTACCAGAATTGGGGCAGGATCTCCCTAAGTAGTTTGAGCTCCCTTTGGGGCCATTCCTCTCCTCGGGGGTGGGGAGGAGGGGGGCAGAAGCCACCCGACCCAATCAATCAGCAGTGGGTGTATGTAGCCAGGCCTTGTATCTCTCTAATAAGATTCCAGGGTGCTTGTCCATTCTAGCTGTGCTGTGGTCACATGTCAGATTGCAGTGTAGACATTCCCTTATGACAGCACTTTAAACAACGAGATTTATTGTTGTAGAACATTGTTGCTGGAGGGTGTTTATGCCTGCCATCAAGTGGGTCTTTGATTTACAGGCAACCACAAACCTGGTTAAAGCCCAAGCTATGCACCCTTCTTTCAGGCTAAAAGGAAGGAGCAATTAAATGCCCCTGTGTGTAGTGATAGCTAGAACAATTGGAAGCTACTGCCCAAGGCACTGGGCCACAGAGGTGAGACACTTGGTCTGAGGGATTTCCCTGATTACAAAAGCAGGAGCGTGGGGACCAATTGATTGTGTTTCTGTGAGAGAGAGGCAGAAAGCCAGCAGACAGCCAGAGAAGCCGTTGTGAACATGGCCCTGGAAGGAAGCCTGGACAGAGATCTTCCGGCATACAGGACTGGCAGGCGAGGCAGACGTGGATTTCTGAGCAAGAAAGCTGCCTGTTCTTTGTTCCTACTGTATTTGGGGAAACAAGACCCTTGTGTTTATCATCTATAAACAAACAAGGAAACACCTGACCAGCTGTGAAGTTCTGGGGAGTTTCCAGACCAGTAAGGGGGTCTGTCACTGCCTGAGCTGTAAGCCTTTGTGCCATGGGACTCTGCTGCAGATCTCCAACACCAGTAGCCAGCCCACAAGCCAAGGTCTCCCCCTGGCTCTCACCAGCCCTGTTAATCTTTGTAGGGGGACAACAGTGCTGAGTCTTCCCAAATCCGTCCTCCCTGAGGTTTTACTTACCAGACATTCAGACTGTTCCTCTACTGTTTGTCACTTCTGAAGATGTGAAACTAGTCCCCCAGCCACGAGCTTACTTTGGCGCACCCAGGCCGCGCCGTTTTCCCCTCAGAGATCCGCTTGGGATGAAAATAAACACAACATTTATTGAATAGAGAACTCCCAGATTCAGAGACAGGAAAGCAACCACATACAGGTGACATAGAACATAAACTAAAAGCTGCAGCCTCAGGCATGACACTTTCCTATTAGATGAAATCCCATTTCTCGTGATATCTATGGCCTGAAATGAGTTTCCCAGCTTACCCCGAAAGGATTCAGCATTCACGGGCGCCCTCCCATCTCGAGACTGTCCCTCAAGCTCTGGATCCAAACCATCCATCCAAAGGCTGTTTTAAAAAGTCTTAGGGTTTGGGTTTTTTTTTTATTATCTCTACCCACGGGGATGCCTGGTTAATCAAAATGGAGAAACTCTCTCCTGACTCGGTGCGCTTTGCAATTTCGAGGTTTTCTCCCATGGTTTCTGTTTGGTCTATTGGCCCACCATTGTCTTACCCTGGGACTGGGTGATGGAGAGAAACTCAAAACCGCTTTTGTGTAAACGACAGGTTTGGGAAGTACCTGTGTCTGCTTGCCCCAGTGAGCAGCAAAGCTCACAGATTCTGAGCCCAATTTTCTATATGCACGAAGACATAGATTCATAGCCCCAACATAGCTCATACAGACCATCAAATGCAGAGCATGACAAGCTTTCATATAGGACTTCACCCCATATAGTTTTATAGTATAACACAGGCAACCTTAAACTGCTCCTCGGGGGGGTTAAACCTGCTGTCCTCCCCTTGGGACGTCTACACCCTGATGGTCACTCTCACATCGTCAATTTCTCCTCTGAATGGCAAGATCCTGGCAAAGCCCAAATATTGGCTCTCTGCTCGGGCCTGCGGGGTGGCAATATAATAACAGAGCTTGGCTGTGTTCCTACTCCCTGTGATCAAAAAAGAGAGGCTGAGCTTGAAGATGATCCTTAATCTAATTATTATAATTACTACCAAAAACATGGCAGCACCCAGGGGAGATGTCGTACAAGCATATAGTAACATGCTGGGCCATGTGCCAAATAGCTCAGCATAAAACCAGAGCTAGGATCTGTCTGGCTATGAGCGATAGACAGAGGGGAGCCTAGTGGCTGGAGAACTGTGCCAGAAGATCCAGTTTCTATTCCCAGGTCTGCCCTGTGGGTGATGTTGGCCACTCCCCCCTCGCCCCTGTGCTCCAGCTTTCTTATCTGTAAAATGGGAATAATGACACTGACCTCTGGTGTGAAGCACTTTGAGATCTACAGATGAAAATCTCCAGATAAGAGCTTGCCCCGGCATGACCTCAATGCCCCTACGCAAAGCAAAAAACAACAACAACGAGGAGTCTGGTGGCAAGTTAAAGACTAGCAGATTTATTTGGGCATAAGCTTTCATGAAGCAAGATGTTAACATGACCCTGAGAACGCCTCAAAGCCAACTGGGGTCCCGGTTGTAGATCAGCAGCTCCTCACAGGCCTGACAAACTCCTCACTGCACCTAACACCCCACTTTCACGGTCTTTATCCATGAATGGTGTCGTATGAGGCGTCAGATGAAAGCCAGTGATGCCCAGGTCGTTCATGTCCTTGTTCAATGCGTGTACTGACCCTCTACAAGGAGTTATGTGCATTCACTGAAAAATAGATTGTAATGTCTGTAACAACACAGAGGTGACAAGCTGGTTTTCTGCCAGACAAAGCTTTTCTATTCATCTAGCCCTCTCCCCAGTGTAAATTAAGCACCATGGGTTAATACAATAGAAGCCCCATCTGGATACAGAACCGACAGGAGGATGTGAAATCAACAGAGAAGAGCCCCCCCACCTACCCCAGCCTCGATGGCATGAAGACATGAATATTCTGCCGTGGGAGAGCACAACTGGCTCTGTGTAGAGACACACCATGGGTGGCTGTGACAATGCCCACACTTCAATGAATTCATCTGGCCCCAAGGTCTATTCCACCCAGCCACTGCCCCCCAGTGTCACCCCCCGGCCCATATTCCAACCCTCCAAATGGTGGAGCAGCCACAAAGTGTCCCCCATTATTAAAACAACAATAACCTGCTTCCTCTCTCACCCCCACAACAACATATACATGCCTTCAAAATTACCCCAGGGCCAGGGACAGGCAAGTAGGGTTCACTGAGAACAAACAGCTTTGGCAACCCCAGTGGCCCCGTGGGGAAGAACGCAGAACGCCCAGCTCTGGGGTGCTAGTGGTGAGGTGTATGTCAGCAACACCCCCAACTTAACAACTGTGCCAGGATGCAGCTGCTGGATGCTCTCCAAATGACCTTCCTAGACCAAGGAAGTGATCTACAGTAGATGCCTTCCCAGGCTGAGCTAATCTACTGGCATGTACAGAGATACCACAGTGATGGGCAACATAGAAATCCTAGCTAGCTAGCTAGATGGATGGGTATATGGGGATAGACAGACAGACAGACAGATGGTCAGATAGATGGATAGATACACACAGGGGTGTAAGGGGAAAGATGGATGGATAGAGGGGTGTGTATGGAAATAGACAGATAAATATATAGGTGTTTTGGGGGATGGATGGATAGAGAGGGGTGTGTATTTAGATGGATGGAAGTAGAGGGATGTGTATGGAGTTAGATATGTAGGATGGATGGATGGATGGAAAGGGGTGTGTATGGGTTTAGATGTGTAGATGTGTGGATGGATACAGGGGTGTGTATGTGGATGGATGGAGGGGTTGAGCAGAGGGATGGATGGATGGATCGAGGGGTATGTATTTGGATGTATATATGTATGTATGGATGGATAAAGGGTTGTGTATTTGGATGAATGGATGGATGGCTGGATGGATGGATGGATGGATGGATGGATAGGGGTTGGGTGGAAGGATGGATGGATGGATGGGTGGGTGGATGGATAAAGGCTTGTGTATTTGGATGGATAGATGGATGGATGGAGGAGTTGGGTGGAGGGATGGAGGGATGGATAGAGGGGTGTATATTTGGATGGCTGGATAAAGGGATGGATGGATAGAGGGGTTGGGTGGAGGGATGGAGGTGTTGGATGGATGGATGGAAGGATGGACAGAAGGGTTGGGTGGAGAGATGGATGGACGGAAAGAAAGTTGTGTATTCATTGTATCTACTAACAACGTGACCTCCCTAGCTAGCTACACACACGTTGTTCCTCTGCCTGGTTTCCAGCAGCGTCTTCAGCACAGAACACCATGAGCACCAGAGGGCTCACAGACTATCTAGACAGTGGTTCTCAGCTAGGAGTACACGTACCCCCTGGGCATGCAGAAGTCTTCCAGGGAGTACATCAACTCATCTAGCTATTTGCCTAGTTTTACAACAGGCTACATAAAAAGCACTGGCAAGTTAGTACAAACTAAAATTTCATACAGCCAATGACTTGTTTATACTGCTCTGTATACGACACACTGAAATGTAAATACAATATATATATTCCGATTAATTTATTTGCTAATGATACGTTAAAAATGAGAAAGTCAGCCATTTATCAGTACTAGTGTGGCTGTGACACTTTTGTATTTTTATGTCTGATTTTGTAAGCATGTTGCTTTTAAGGGAGGTGAAACTTGGGGATATGCAAGACATACCAGCCTCCTGAAAGGGGTACAGTAGTGGGGAAATGTTGAGAGCCACTGACTACCCCTTAGACACCGGAGAGCTAGCTGGACACTAGGAGGAGCACGTTAGCCTTGTTGCGTGGGAGTTCAGGAAGATTCAGCCAGAATTCCCTCCCAGGAAGTCCATGCCACCCCCAACCTCCCTTTTTGGTGGTGTAGCAGCTGCCTTACTGCTCCATGCCCAGCCAGTGGAGAAAGGGCAAAAGTCTGCCAGAGAATGTGTATGTCAAAGCAGATGGAGTGTGTTGCATGTAAGAGAGAGAGAATCTTCAGGAAACTGCGTGAGACAAAAAAGAGGCAGAGAGAGAACAGTAGCGAGATAATGTGGTGGACTGCCAGAGAAAGAGAGAGTTTGCAAGATCGTGTGTGAGTGTCTGTGCAGAAGAGAACTTGTAGGAGATTCTGTATGTGTGTGTATGAGAGAGAGAGAGAATGTGCAGGACATTTCGTGTGTGTGTGAGTCACTGCAAGAGAATGTACAGGATGTGTGTGTGTGGCCGTGCAAAGGAGAATTTGTAGGAGGTTTTGTGTGTGTGTGTGTGTATCTGCTGTGCAAAGGAGAATTTGCAGGTGGTCGTGTGTGTCTGTGCAAAGGAGAATTGCAGGAGGTTGTGTGTGTGTGTGCAAAGGAGACACACACATTTGCAGAAGGTTGTATATTTGGGGGCGGGGGGGGAGAGAAGGGGGTGAAATTGAGCTTGAGACTTTCCAAACTACCAATTCCTATTTGAATTTGTGAGGACCGCGTATCCCCATTCACTAGACGGCTAGGAAAAAACTCTCCCCTCTGCGGCAGCCTAGATATCCCTTGCTGGTGGGAGAGCGACCCACAAGGTGCCCCTCGGCCCGACACCAGCTCTGGAATGCCCCATCCCACTCAGCCTGACCTGGGTGCAAGGAGCAGTCAGTGGGAGGGACTTTGGTAGCTCTCCCACCCCGCCCGCTGTGAATAACGCAAGGCCTTGACTCCCAGCCAGGCCTTCCTGGAATCAGCCTCATGTGAAGGGGGGGAGGGGAAAGCTGGCGACTCCCAGCACTTTGTCAGTTTTATGCATAAGCACAGCAGAGCTTCTGGGAGGTTGCGGTGGAGCCCTGGGTCCCAGAGGCCAGCCGAGCCATGCTTGCTCTGTGCACAGCCCTAGCCGGGCTGCTGCTCCTGCTGCCCCTGCTGGGGAACCTGCTTTTCCCCTACTGGTGGCAGGACCTGGCCACATCGCTGTCCATCGTCCACAAGGGATACAGATGTCTGCGTCGGCTCCAATGCCGCCCTCCCCTCACCCTGCTCGATACCTTCTTGGAGAAGGTGCAGAGCCACCCGGAGAAAGCCCTGCTGCTTTTCGGGGAGCAGGTCTACACCTACCGGGACATAGACCGGCGCAGCAGCCAGGCGGCTCGGGTCCTGCGGGACGGCGTGGGGCTGCGGGAAGGGGACTCGGTGGCCGTCTTCCTGCTGAACATCCCTGCCTACCTCTGGGTTTGGCTGGGGCTGGCGAAGATCGGCTGTGCCATGGCGTGCCTGAACACCAACATACGCGCCAACTCCCTGCTGCATTCGCTCGGCGCCTGCGAGGCCACGGTGCTGCTGACTACCCCAGGTGAGTGGGGAGGCTGCTACCACCTTGGATCACGTCTCCTGGTGAGCTGGGACCAGCTGCGTCCCAGGGATGCGCTCCACAGGGAGCTCCATCGCAGTGCAAGGTGTTCCTGCAGCAAGGGGGCAGGGGACCGCCCATGCTGGTTGGGTCTCTGATCCACCCCAGGGGCAGAGGCATGCGACCTCCACCGGCTTAGGGGCAATTCACAACTTCACTGCCTTAGGGGGGTCTGACCTCTCATCTCAGCTGGGTGAAGTGGTTAGAGCCCAGTGCGCTAGGAACCAGGACACCTGGGTTCTATCTTGGCTCTGGAAGGGGAGTGGGGCAGGGGTGAAAGTAACTTAAGGGACTTACCAGTATGCAGGGCTGCTTTGGTCCTGAACAGGGCGGGGGGCTCAACTGGGTGGGACCTTGGGCAGAAGGGGTGGGGATGGGGGCAGACTTCCCCAGCCAGCCTGCCCTTCATCGAGGCCAGGTGGTGATTTAAAGGGCTCGGGCCACTGCCAGGAGCCCCAGCCCCTTTAAATTGCCGGGCCCCTGGGAAGCTGCCCATTTTGCCCCCCCCCCTCGCATCAGCGGCCCTGCCGATATGGTTGGCTGTGTACCAGCTCTTACTGGTACGTCATACCATACCAGCTTACTTTCACCTCTGGGGTAGGCTGCAGTGATTACAGAAGGGGGGTTGGGAGCCAGGACTGTTGGGTTTTGTCCCCAGCTCTGGGAGAGGAGAGGGATCTAGTGGTTAGAGCAGAGTGGGGCTGGGAGCCAGGATTCCTGGATTGTTCGCACAGCGGTCAACGACTGCAGAGTGAGGGTGGTGAGCGGGGCCCCGGCTGCACACAGGGCATTTGTCCTGCTCCTTAAGTCAAAGCCCTGCCAGCTGAGGGAGCGGGAGGCACTCAACTGTGGGTGTGCCTGGATCACAGCTGCATGGCGGGGGTACCGGCACTTTGGAGCCACTGTGGCCACTGTGCTCCGTGGGAAACCTGGCATGGATTTGGGGGCAGCCCTCCTCTGCCTCCTGCTCTAAACTGCTAGACCCCCAGAGCCAGGGATAGAGCCCAGGAGTCCTGGCTCCCAGCC